ACCTCCTAGGTGGATTAGAATCATTCAAATCCACCTTGATTTCTGCTAAGTGGAAATTTTATACTCAGCCTTTCTAAATCCTTACAACAATGTGATGAGGATATTACAGTTGCTTTAACCCAAGGAGATGAAATTCAAACTGGTGGCATTTCACACTTACAGTGGGCTTGCAGGATGAAAGAGAGCTTGGTATCTTGATCCCTTATATAAAACAGGTGGGTCTTGTTAGAAAAATCCTTCAATCATTTTTAAGGTTAAAATTTTGAAAAGAGGTACAAAGAAATTTGCTTTGATGCAAATATTGTCTAGTCAGTTATGTAACTTGAGAGATAATGACAGTGTACACTAGCTATCCAGGGCACAATATCTCTGTTGTGCAATTGAATATACTGCTCAACCATTCTGGAAAATGGCATGCTCGTGTGTGAATGACAATGTATCTTGTGTGTATGGCACTCCAAGCCAACATGTTGGTCACTGCAAGTAAACTTCTTGATCGTCAAGAGGCTGCCTGTTTAATATTTGCATGATCTAAACGAATTGTTTCTTTTGTTTTTTCCTCTGCTTTATGAACTGGTAGTTTGACCTTTTGGCTTTTTCCCTGAGAGTTAACAAAAGTTAGACAGTTGGGGGGTGAACTTAAGTAAAATCCATATCACTCTATGTTACTGGTCTACTAACAATTCAAGACAATGTCTTGGTAGGAAGCAAGGAATGAGTTTTAAATTTGATCTTTGAATTTCAATTATCCATGCCACTCCTGTGGTCCACCATTCTATATAATTAAGAATAAGCTGTATGTTCCATAGTGACACAACCTGTTGTTTCTGATTTGCAGTTTTCACTTAACCTGCGGTAAAACTGAAATAGAAGTCAGGTCATTTTTTTTTTTTTTTTTTTTTTTTACCTTCTTCCACTCAATTCTAGTTAAATATTTTTGAACTTCTATAAAATGTCTGTGCAATATTATCACCAATAATGTGTAAAATTACTACTCCCATGTAGAAGAGTATCCATTCTTTATTCAACCATACCCTTGGGATCCTATCACATGCAGTTGATCATATACTATGTATAATTTTCTAATTTTTTTTTTGTTTGTACACTTTGTAGGGACTTTGGAATTTGGAAAATATAGTACATTTTGGGTATATGTATTAGTCCATTTTCATACTGCTATAAAGAAATACCTGAGACTGGGTAATTTATAAAGAAAAACAGGCATAATGAACTCACAGTTCCACATGGCTGGGGAGGCCTCACAATCATGGCAGAAGGTGAAGGGGAAGCAAAGGCACGTCTTATATGGCAGCAGGCAAGAGAGCATGTGCAAGGGAACTGCCCTTTATGAAACCATCAGATCTCGTGAGACTTATTCACTATCATGAGAACAGCACAGGAAAAACGTGCCCCCATGATTCAATTACCTCCCACTGAGCCCCTCCCACAACATGTGGGGACTATGGGAACTACAATTCCAAATGAGATTTGGATGGGGACACAGCCAAAGCATATCAGTATATTAAAGAAAATATTTGTTAGTGCTAAGTGAATCTACTTTCACCTACTTGATTATTTGATGATTTTATAAATAGTCATCTCTTTCCTCATCTTTCCAATTGCATTTTGTTGTTCTAAAGCCCAAACCTGTGTGTCTTGTGTTCAACAACCTGAATCATACAGTTGTGAGATGTAAATGGGTGTGGTGGTTCCACTTACTTCTTCACATAGTACTACAACTAAGCCATCTAAGTAGTTTGCTCCTAAATTCCTCCAAGAAGGGAAATATCATGATTTGATTTAAATGTGACATCCTTTCTTAGAGACGTTTTCTTTGTCTCCTTCTTCCCCAGTCACTTCCTCTCATCCACTGTGCTTTCGGCAGTTCATTCATTCATTAACTCATTCAACGAACATTGAATAACTTTTGATCAATGTCTTCCTCCCTCCAAGCTGAAAACTTGATGGAGGGTAACATGATCTGTCTTTGTTTACTACTGCATCTTCCGTGAATATACATTGTAAGTATTGAACGGATTTTTACTAAATGAAGAAATACTTTGATGAAATATTTTTGATAACTGCCAATATCAGTTTCTGAATTGATTCTAAAATTCTTCTGCTGGAAAGTGGATTAGCTTTAGTATGACTGCTGAAGCCTTTTAAAGTGGGTGATAACACTACATTTTGTTTGCTTTATTAACCTAAGTGCTTTTCTTTGGAATCTTTTTAAAGGAAGATAAATTACATTTATGAAAGAAGCATATTATTTTTAAAGTACTTTATTTTTAAAAGGTAAAATGCTTGTGTAGTTATAATTTGGTAACTCTTGATTTCACCTTAGGAAAAACAATATCACCTTCTAACCATTTCTTTTTTAGTCAAATCACTTGCTTTTATTTCTTTCTGTAGATCTGCTATTGAAAGATTGTAATCACTGCTGCATCTTTCCTGTAAGACTTGATCACATTATTAATTTCTTTGTAAACTTGTAGAATAGGGGTATAAATAGTACTTGAGTAATACACTGACTAATACTGAAGAACCAGGCATTTTCTTACCCCAGCCCTCACACAAAGTAGGGAAATACAAGTTAAAACTCATCTCAAAACTCTGACCTCAGAATTTCCTGAGAAATCTGAACCGAGAAAGATTCTTTGCTTTTGACATTTTTTCCCTGGTTTCCACCGCAAGTCTCTTGCTCTTACATTTTTTTTTTCTAGTGTTTCAAATAGAGGATGGTAGAGTCGTATAGAACAATCTCAGCACTGGAGAGGCTACTGGAGGTCAACTAGTGCAAATGCTTTCTGGATAATGGAATCCTTTGGGAACATCCCTTGAAAGTCTTCATCTAGCCTATTCTTGGAAACCCCCAGTGATCCCCCTCATCATTTCCTATGATGGGAGCTTCTATCTTTGTCATCAGCTCTGACTATTTCAAACTGCTTCCTTACATTGAGCTGTAACTAACTAAAAAGTTTCCACACCCTGCTTCTGTTTTAGCCTTTGGGCTCATAAAGAACAAGTTGAACCCGTCTTCTGCAGAACAACTCATGTACAGGAGATGCTCAGGTTTCCTCCATGTTTTCCTTTCTCTAGGCTAACCCTTCTTTGTTCCTCATTTGCTCACTATATGACCTGATTTCATGTCTCCTTACCCGTCTAGTTACTCTAACTTGAGTAGGCTTATTTTTCTTATAGTTTCAGGATCCAGCAATGAGTGTGATACATCAGGTATGCTCTGATGAGTTGAGAGTAGAGTGGACATATCATCTCCCTTACTTCAGATATTGTGATCTCATTGGCAAATCTGGCAATAAAAGTTGAAATGCCTGACCAAGGACAATGGCTGGTCAGGTGCCATTGTTCTCATCTTTTACTTTTAGATGTCCCTCAGTTTGTTAAGTTAGTACCTACATAGTGTCCTGAAACTTGTTCAATTTGTACCTACATAATAGATTAAATTCAAAATCTCTGCTTAACTGAAAACAAAAGCAAACTTCTTTTCAGAGCCAGAATCTGGAATCATACTTAATAGAGAATGATCTTGTACAAGTTGGATCATCTCTTTAAGTAACGGTTTCTCAAACTTACAAGATTATTGTGAGAACTAAATTAGTTCTAAAGTGTTTCCATGTAAAGTGTATGTAAATGCTTAAAATATGTAGTAAGTTCTGAATGCATATTACTAATAATAATCTTTATTATAATGTTTACTATTTCATGAGAAATGCTTATTTTAATACTGAGCAAATAGGAAGAGTTCATGGCTTCTCTATGTTTTTGAAGTGTCATTTAATATATTATATATATATTTATATGTATAAAACATATATATATATATTTCAGTTACACATTTGTCCAAATACGTTTACAAATTAAAACAAAACAAGACAAAGTTCTCACACTAGTTATTTGTTATAAAGTGATAGAACAAGTGATATGTTATAAAGAGCATTTATTTCTCATGTCTTTGGTATTAAAAATAGTTGTATTAACTTTGTATCAAAATGATTGCTTCCTTCATTTAAATCTAAGAATTATTGCTGTCTGATAAATATTGGAGAGATTAACTTTTTTGAAAATATAGAAGCTCTTTGTCTTTTTAAAATAGTTGTTTTTGGCAGATGTTAATACATTTCGGCAGCACAGTATGGCCTTTTTCAGGTTAAGGTGCTGAGCCCAAACCTCAAAGAATCACTGCAAAAAGATTGGATCCCCCCTCTTCACCCCATTTCATAATTTAGTTAGTGAGAACCACAGCTGGGTAAACCTTTGGGGGGAAATTATCAAATAAAACAAACTCTTTTTAGAAGTTTACAACTTTTATGTTAGGAAAAAACAAACACATTTGTGAAAAGCTTAAAATCCAGTAAACGACTTGAGGGACTTGTGGTAATCCTAGGGTGATGAGGAGCAGGTTAGTAGCAGTGAAGGACTTAGCACCCCAGGGGGCCAGAGGCTGTAATATACCTTACGAGCAAGTCATTCTTATTTAGTCTTGCCCATTAAGAAGTCTACTTGGACTAAATGCTTTTAAAAATGCCCTTTTAATTTACTATTAAAAGAATATTCCTAGCAGAAGTAGTCTTTGATGCTAAATCATATTTTAAGAATAACTAAAATTAGAATTTTGTTCTTTTTATAACACTCGTTACCTACACACATCCCTACCTGGTGTGTCAGAGTCAGTTTGTACGGGCTCACCAAAGCCTACTGTTCAATTTTCAGGAGTTTTGTAAGCCATTTGATGTCAGACAAGTGGCCTGAAGTTTGTTATGGTGGCAGTATTTACACCATGAAAATTGGCAACTGCTACAAATAGAAGTCTTTTTCTTCTTCTCTTGGAGAGCCACTTGTTAAACACTTACCAGCTCACCTGTGCTTGAAAGTATTTCTTCAAATAAAATGAAAGACGGTTAGCTTTGAAAATTTTTTGTATAAAAGTTTACATGGGAAAAAAATAAACTAATTGTTTTTTCTTCCCCCTGTGTTTTCAGGGATACGAAAAGACCGAAGAGGAGGGAGAATGTTGAAACACAAGCGCCAGAGAGATGATGGGGAGGGCAGGGGTGAAGTGGGGTCCGCTGGAGACATGAGAGCTGCCAACCTTTGGCCAAGCCCGCTCATGATCAAGCACTCTAAGAAGAACAGCCCGGCCTTGTCCCTGACGGCCGACCAGATGGTCAGTGCCTTGCTGGATGCTGAGCCCCCTATACTCTATTCCGAGTATGATCCTACCAGACCCTTCAGTGAAGCTTCGATGATGGGCTTACTGACCAACCTGGCAGACAGGGAGCTGGTTCACATGATCAACTGGGCAAAGAGGGTGCCAGGTAAGAATGCGAAGCTCAACTTTTAAGAGTCAATAGCTTTTCAAGAACTGGTTGTGATGTCATGGGAGAAATAGTGGGGAAAAAAGAAGCAATAACATGTTATGTAATAGGTTTCAAGGTTATAGGAGATGTGTTCATTTTCAGTATCAATACACTGTAATTTTCCTGGAGATTAGGAAATAATATTTTAAAATAAAAATCCAGAAGACTAAAATTTTTAAATTGACATAATTTATTTTTAACCCATCTTATTTACCCAAAAGATTTAGGGTGGACACTACATGATAAAACTATTTAATAGTATATGTTCACATTAGCAGAAACTTGTAACACTAAATGATCTACAAAAGTTCTTAATATTAATGACCTTTGTTCAAAACATCTCAATTATTAATAAAACAATGTTATCTTAAAAAGATTTTTAAGATTGGGTGTGGTGGCTCATGCCTGTAATCCTAGCACTTTTTGGGGCTGAGGTGGGAGGATTGCTTGAGCCCAGGAACTTGAGGCCAGCCAGGGCAATGTGGCTAAACCCTGTCTCTACAAAAAATTTTTTAAAATTACCTGGTGCAGTGGCACACACCTGTGGTCCCAGCTACTGGGGAGGCTGAGGTGAGAGGATGGCTGGAGTCCAGGAGGTTGGAGCTACAGTGAACCGTGTTTGTGTGGAGTGCCACTGCCAGCCTGGGTGACAGAGCAAGACCATGTCTCAAAAAATAAACAACAACAAAAAAAAGTTAAGAAAGATCTTTATGGATTAAAGAGATAATAATAAGTTTACTTACTGAATGCCAATTATTTATCCAACCTGGTGTATGCTTAGTATTTTAGGAGAAAGAGAAAGGCAATGGAAAAATAAATTAAGGTATCATCCCTGAAAGAAACTTTTAGAAAGACACAGTGGCTGAAGTGATACCTTGTTCCTTCAGCTGATTCTCTCAGAACTGGTGTTATAGTAAAATTGGACTGTTACTCCTGTTGTTCAGGGAGAAGAACTCAAGTCTGTATGGAAACAAGACTAGAAAATGGCTTTCTCCCTGCCCCAGTGTATCCATTCAGGAGCTAATGTAGATGAACCAAGGCAAGAGGAAGTTAAATTTTTTTCTGGGCTTATAGACTCAATGAGTGATAGATTTAGTTGGAGTTTTTCTCATTTGGTTTCTTTTAATAGATGAAATTAATTGTTTCCTACGAAGCATGAAATGTTTAATATGAAACTAAAAAATGTGGAGTTTGTACTTGCATTTCAAGGGTCACTGCTGTGTTACAGGCCAAGTGAACTTATGTCTGGCCTTAGAGAATCTTACATGTATTTGCATCTATCAGCATATAAACATGTGGGCTGTAGAATAAGAAGCCAGCAGTACCAGAACCCAGCCTTGTTAGAGGCCACCATTTTGGTGGTTTGGGTGGTTATTAGGTTACATGGAAGCATGGAGAATAATAGGCAAATGTAGGTTTTCAATGTCAGTCGAACTGGCAAACAAAAATTCCTGATCATCTTCAGAATGAAAAGTTTTCTTGAGTACCTACATATTTTGGCATTTTTATATGAAACAGATACATTATAAGTTAATTGTTGGAATATAAATGTAATGTGGCTGTAAGTTTTTTCTTTATATTTGTTATTGCCTTGTTCTTATATTTTAGGGAAAGAGAAACAAACAAAGAAACTAATGGTCATATATATGAGAGCCAACTCTTGGTTGCTATTCAGTTTTATTTTCCCTCATGAAATCTTGGTAATGTTAGCTCTGGAGTACTGCTGAACTGAAGTATAGACATTTTCTTACATATCAGTAGATTCTCGTCATGGCATTTTTATAATAATAAACTATCGAAGAGCATTAGTAACAACTGGAATCAAGCTCAAATACATTACCAGCGGTTGAAGAATTCACATCAATAATCTTCTGAATTTAGGAATAAAATGGAGAAGTCAAGGAAAGGAAAATATTATACACAGGCTAGCAATTGTTAAAATATAATTATTAAAGCCAGAGTTAGACAAACTTATGGCAATAAGATATGTAATAAAACCACTCTATAACTTCATCATGTTAGTTTAAAAGACCTGCATGATTCCAAAATCCTTAGACCAATAAACTATGTCTTCTTACTGGATAATTTAAAAAAATTATAAAGGCAAAATGAAATTATATATGTGTGTGTGTGTGTGTGTTCCATGGGAATACAGCTGTTGTAAATCAAAGGCCTACTTGTCTGACCAAGCAGAATAAAAATAGTCATTGATTTTAAAGAGATGAAAAATGAGGGAAGAAAAAAGTCTTCTGCAAAAGTTCTACAGATGGTTGTCAAGCTTTTCAGAAAAATACACAAAGCAACATTTTGAAAAGGATTTATATCTTTTATATATTCAAATACCATCTGTTATTTAAAAAATATAGCCCACACTGAAAATCTAATATAGACAATATAACGTTTATGAGATAATAGCTTGAGAATGACAATAATAATAGTAATTTTTAAAAAGAGAAAATAGGCTGGGCACAGTGGCTCACACCTGTAATCCCAGGAGGCGTGGGTGGGTGAATTACCTAAGGTTAGGAGTTCAAGACCAGCCTGGCTTTTAAAATGGCAAAACCCTGTCTCTACAAAAAAAATATAAAAATTAGGTGGGCTTGGTGGCACACATCTGTAGTCCCAGGTACTTGGGATGTTGAGGTGGGAGAATTGCTTGAACCTGGGAGGCAGAGACTGCAGTGAGCCGAGATCCCACAACTGCACTCCAGCCTGGGCAACAATGAGACTCTGTCTCTAAATAAATAAATAAAGAAGGAAATAGTAAACATCATTAGTAAGAAGAATAGCAAACAGTTCAGTTCTGGAAATACCCAGAATTAGCTATATGATACAAAAACCCTCATGGATCATTTGGATAATCCTCAGAATATCTGTCAATATAACAAAAACTATGAATTGACTTCATTTTGAATGATGAATTTTTAACAAAAATAGTCCATACTTTGGGCTATCTTAATAGTTCTAGAAGTGCTTTCTTCTTCTTCTTTTTAATTAACAGAATATTATCAAACTTTTCAAATGTTGATGATTATAAATTGAATTTTCCTTTTCATTAATACCTGGGGCTTATTTTTTGACTTGATACATTTCTCTACTCAGAATTAAGATGTGCAGAGCTTTAGGATAAAATGCATCATAAAAGTGTGAGGGTCAAGTTCCAATCTGTAAAGTACTTCTAGTAGACCCGGATAAAGATGACCTTAAGAAATGATTTTTTTTCTCTTTGCAGTTTAAAAACAACAGTGGCAATAAGAATGATAAAACCTACAAAGCCAGCTCTGATAAAAGATGCTTTTTTATAACACAATCTACTTTTTGATATTTATCTATAGAGAAGATTTTCTCCTTATTGTTTGCTGAAATTTGTTTATCTTTAATAGGAATTTTATAGCCTTATCCCTGGGTAGAAATTCAGTTTTTTTTTTTTTTTTTTTTTTTTTTTTTTTTTTTTAGCGGATCTGGTTTGTCACCAGTGGAGTGCATGGCCGATCTCGGCTCACTGCAACTCCGCTCCCGTACCCATTCTCCTGCCCACTCCGGTACTGGCTACAGTGCCCCCCTCGCCCCTTTTTTATTTTTAGTAGGACGGGTTCACCGTGTTACCGGATGGTCTCGATCCTGACCCGGCCTCGTCTCGCCCCAGTGCTGGCGCTACCACCGGGAAATTCAGTTTTTTAAAAAGTAGATTACTAAATCTTAATTTGCTATTATTCTACACATGGTAAAACTAGTCAATAACTGTAATATCATTGAGCTGAAGGTTAAAAAGGAAAAAATATGACTGACTGAAAGAGTGGTTGTATTTTTGATTTCAGCATCACACTCAATTGCATCATTCAGTGGTTCATTCTTAGTTTTGGTGTTAATGAAATACATCTGAGATTTTTTTCCCCAGAAGCTTGAATTGTGTCACCACAGTGTCCTTTTGATTTATTAAAAGTTAAGCCTTTTCCAAAATTCACCATAATTTTACATGTCTCAAAAGCAATGTTATACTTCAAGTTTGTGTTATAATTCTACATATTTTATGAAGATTTTGATAGATGTCTAGCCCTGAGTTTTTTATTGCCTGTTAAATACTTATAACCAAAAGTGTGACAGCCTCATGAGCTGCTGCTGGGCACAGATCTGAGAGAGTACACTGAGAGTGTTGGCCCAGGAAGAGGAAGAGAGGACAAGGGGCAGTTCAGTGGCAGCTTGGCTTTGTGTGAAACATGCCACCTTAACCACTTCCTCATTCTTTTAGTGGCAAACTAGGTGACCTTCTCCTTCCTCTTTCCTGCCGAGTCCCCCTCTACTCAACACTCTAGAAGGCCCCTCTTCCTCCTCAGTCCTGACTCCCTGTCATTGACTTCAGGTGGCCTCCTTGCTCCGTTTTGGCCCCAGGGGTAGACAATCTACTCTTTCTGGACATGCCTCCCAGCAGCCCCAAGTTCAGGTTTCGTGGCAGTTTCTATGTTGTCTGGAGGATGCATGGTTGTGTGAGTTATTCCAGGGCTCAAGGCCCGTTCTGTGTCTGTGTTCCCCAGGAATCCAGGAATTTGCTTCTCTGCCTCTCATCCTCATCCTCATCATTAAAATTAGCAGATTTGAGCTCAGGAAATGCTTGAATCAATGAATAAATGAACAAATGACAGGTGATTTTTGAAAGTCTTGAGTTTCAGAAGTCTCTGAGCCCTGTTACAGCTCAATTTTCCCATAAACTAGAGCTGCTCTCTAAGGCTGTGACATTTCTCCTTTTTCTTCTCCTCAAAATCTACCTGTTGTTCTGATATCTCCCGGACAGTCACCTTAGTGAGACTCCATTCCATTTCCAACCTCTCTTTTGTAAGGGACAGAGAAATAGCTAGAGGAATATGGAGCCATGCACTCTGAGGACTTTAGCAGGCTTCAACTGTCTATTTACAAGTGAGTTTCACTTAGTGAATGAAATTGGAAACTTAAAGTGGGTAGGG